TTCCACCCCCAGGTCAAAATACAGAACATTTCTATCCCCACAGAGGGCCTCTCCATGCCCTTCCCAGCCAATGCTCTCTCCTACCCCATTGAATAACCATTCGTTTTACTTCTATCTGCATAGATTAATTCTGCCCAATCTTGAACTTCTCTTAAATGGACTAACAGCATGTAGTCTTATGTGTCTGGCTCCTTTCACTCAATATTATGTCTATGAGATTCATTCGTGCAGATAGTAATCCTTTGTTCCTTTTTATTGCCATGTAGTATTCCATTTTAAGAATATACCGTGCACTAGCTTGTTTGGCTCAATGGATAGAGTGTCAGCCCTGAGACTGAAGGGTCTCAGGTTCAATTCTGGTCAAGGGCACATACCTCGGTTGCAGGCTCAATCTCCAGTCACAGTCAATTTCCAGCCCTGGTGGGACCCATGTGGGAGGCAACCAATCAATGTGTCTCTCTCACATCGATGCTTCTCTCTCTGTGTGTGTCTCTCCCCCTCCCTTTCACTCACTCTAAATATATATATATATGTGTGTGTGTGTGTGTTTTTGTGTGTGTGTGTGTGTGTATGTATATATATTCTCACAACTGGCTTGTCCATTCAATCATTCACCTGTTGAAGGACACTTGGTTTTTTCCAATTTATCATGAATAAAACCACTATGATCATTGGTGTACATGTCTTTTGGTGGACAGAAGCACTAATTTCTCTTGGATACACACTAGGTCAGAGTTGAGATGCATTTAGTTTTAGTAGATACTGCCAGACAATTTTCTAAAGTGGTTGTGCCACTTTGAATCCCACCAGCAGTATCTAAAAGTCCCAGCTGCTCCACGCTCCACATCTTCACTGACCCTTGGCATGCTTCTCTTTTTCATCTTAGCCATACATGATCTGATTTAGGTTTTTAAACGAGCACCCCGGCTGCAGCGTGGAGAACTAGCTGGTGGGGTTAGGGGAGGGGTGGAGAGAGGAAGCTGAGAGCGCAGGAGGAGGTTAGTGCAATCGTCCTGGGAAGCCATGAACATGGTTTGGACTAAGTGGTGATAGAGAAGTCATAGTCATGGTAATAGCGGACCAATCCGGCCTATATTCTGGGACTAGCCAATAAGGTGAACGAGGTATGAGAGAAAGAGCCATTCAGGGTGAGTCCTATATTCTTTCTTGCCTGGAGAACCTGGGTGGATGAGAGGAGCATTTTCTGACATCCAGAAGATCAAGAAAATAACATGTAGGACGAGGGAAGGTCAAGGGCTCCAGTGCAGCTGTTTGCATATACGATATCTCCTGGAGCGTAGGTTCTAGCTGCCCCTGCCTTAACATAACTGGTAAGCACTGGTTGTGTGACTAGTGCATGCTGTCTGCAGGGGACAGATCTGGGTTAGAGGCCCAGGTCTGCCCTCTCACTCGCCCTGTAACATGGACCTCAGGTTAGGACTGCCCAGCCTCCTCCTTCCTCCTTACAGTGTTAGAATCCAACAGGATCAGGTATCTATGGCGCCTGGAACATGGAAGTTAAACTAAAACCTTCACTCTTCCAAGCGCCAGGCACAATGTGACATGTCTTAGGAGTTTGGCACCTTTTACTCCCATCCACATTTTCGTTCATCCTCACCGAGGATATTTTTCCATTGATTTTTAGAGAGAGTGGAAGGGAAGGGGGAGAGACAGAGAGAGGAACGTTGACGTGAGAGAGACACATCGATTGGTTGCCTCCCGCACCTGCTCCGACCAAGGCTGGGGCTCGAGCCTGCAACCAAGGTACGTGCTCTTGACTAGAACTGAACCCAGGACCTCTTAGTCCACGGGCCAAAGCTCTATCCACGGAGCCAAACCGGCTAGGGCTCTCATCCACATTTTCAAAGTCATTCCAGAACCTTCTTGCTGCGAGCCCAGCACACTGAGAGGCGGTCCCCTCTCGCCTCCCTCAGCCTCGAAGAAACAGAATGGAGAACAGCAGGAGGGTTGATTCATAAGACTTTATCCGCTTTTTTCCCACCCAGCAGTTTCTGCAATGCCAACTGAGCCTGTACGGCACACACGGTTCCCTCTGTTAAAGCTGTGGGCAGGGGGAGAGGTCTGGAGGCCCCGGGGAAGCAGCAGGGCAGGCGGCAAGGCTAGGGGAGGGCAGCAGCCAACACCGGACCAGTGGGCCCAGTGGTGGAGGAGGGTGTGGGAGCTGGAGTGAGAAGGCTGCTGAGGGGTCGGGAGGGAGGGCGGCTACAGGGAGAAGAGGGAAAGGGGGTGCATCAGCAGCTGCAGGGAGGAGGCAGGGAGCAGGAGGAGGGCCTTGGTCCCTGTCTTTAAGGGACAGAGGGAGGGGGGAGGAGGGGACGCAGGGGCTGC